GGGTAGTATTCCCACCAAAAAAACCCCACAACACCTAGGGTTCCCCGGCCTTCACAGTCAACAGAGTCTCGGGGGGAGAACTGGGGTACCCACCACAGCCCTTCGTGAGTGATACAAAATATGTGCTCCCCGCCCCCTGCCTGAAAACATTGAGTCGTTTCGTCCTAACAGAAAGTTCTAGAACCCAGGCCCGCGCTTTCAAGGTCTGTGAACTCTTAACATATGGAAGGTATCACCCTGTCCCTATGCGCTGAACTTTAGTTCACTTCAGAAGTCTGTATCACTTCGAAACATATGAAAACGTTGCCCAAATAAACGACTTCCAGTTTGGTGGAAGCCAGTTTGGTGCAGTGGTTAGAAGCGTGGACTCTAATTTGGGAGAACCGGGTTTGATTCCTCACTCCGCCGCATGCGGCTGCTGGCGTGACCTTGGGTCAGTCATCGTTCTCTCAGGGCTGTTCTCCCAAGAGCAGTTCTCTCAGAGCTCTCTCAGCCCCACCTACCTCACAGGGTGTCTGTTATGGGGAGGGGGAGGGAAAGGAGATTGTAAACCACTCTGAGACTCCTTTGGGTAGTGAAGGGCAGCGTATAAATCCAATCTCCTCCTCCTCCTCCTCCTTCTATTCCTTCACCCCCCTCCTTCAGCATCACTGACCTGCGATCTTTAAAACAGCAGCAGCAATCTTCCTATTCCAAACAAAAAAGTTCAAAATATTTCATAAATCTTTGTGACAAATCTCCCCCCCCCCCCTGTGTGTATATGTGCGTGGGGGGTAACTTACACTAATGTCTTTGGGCTGTATTCACTACCTCAAGTCAAATTCCAGTGAGTCTCCGGGTAGTCCCCATGTTCCATTAAAAATGCTTCTGGTGACAGAAGTCAGTGCCTATTTCAAGTACCCGGGCCCCAGATGCACACTTTCACAGGGGGCGAGAATGTGTCTTTTGTTTCGATCCTCCCTCCCTTTTGCATGTTTAATAACTCACATCCGCTCTGGGCAGTTTTATCCAGTCATCTTTCCATGAAAAGAGGGAGCCGGTCTTACATCTCCAGAGCACTTTGTGCTGCTTCCTTAGACCAGCATTTTCTGAAAGAAACTCATGGGATGTGTTATCGTACGCCTCCCCAAATCATTTCTGTAAAAGCACCCCATTGATTTTCGTGGGGTTATTTTATACCCCCGGGGCTTTACAGAAAGGAAATGGAACGGGCAAGTGGCTGTACTGTGAGGACATTGTTTACTAATAATGCGCAAGTAACAATTTCCTAAAAAGGGGTGGGTGGGAGATGTAGAGCTGCTTTATACATTCCTAAAACTGGTATCTGATGGTTGTCCTGAGCTCCTGGGAGGAACGACAAGCGTAAAAAATGGACTAGAATGCAGAAGCTGCCTTCTCCAAAAACTCCGTTGACCACGGCCTGCCTGCACTCCACGCCCCACTCTACCCTAGAGCACTGGGTTAATTTAGCTCTTGTTATTGCTTCAGGATTTATAACCCAAAGAAGAAGGGGGCTGAGATCCTTTCTTTTGAGACCCCCAGACCGCTCTGACCAGCTGATCTTCTCTGAAGTGGTGTGTACACAGCTCTCTCTCCTCTCCCTCCCCATATAACTTCTGTTTCGCTTTTGTCAGAGGCACACAACAAAACTACTCTGGGCGACTCAGACACAACAAGCCCGTGTTGTTTGGCTTTCTCTCTGTCTCGTCTCTCTCTTTCCATGTTCTCCAAAAGAAACGCGCAGGGCTTGATGCTGCGCGCGGTGGTTCCTCTCGCCTATTTTAATATCGCAGATCCTGCAAACTGAACTATACCTCCTCCAACGTCCTGTTATGAAATGGTGCAGCCTCTGGGCTTTGCCCAGCCCGGGATCGTGTTTTTGTTCCTGCATTTCAAAGAGCATTTATTGAATTGCTCCAGCTTTGTTAGCACAGCCATTCTTTAGAAGCGGGATAAAAAAAAACACAAAAAACCCTCCAACATGGTCGAGATGTATTTGCCCGCCCCCCCTTAAAGCATCGCTCCTCTGTTAAACCGCCAAACAATCCCCACCTGCATTTCTGCGTCGTTTGTTTCTTTCTCTCTCCCCCCTCCCTTCTTTAAAGCACACTGGCTGAGTAGTTTCAAAACTTATAGTGCGATCAAATAGATTCTCCTGATTTATGGAGTTTACGAATGCTGAATTCGGCTTGTCAGAGCCCCTGAATAGCTTGCCTCCGAGCACAAGAAAAGGTTTCGTGTTGCTAAGCGATTAGAGCAGATGTAATGAGATTTACCTCAATCCTGCTTTGCCCTTTCCTATCTTCAGTGAAATTGCGCTCTCCCCCCCCTCTCTCTCTGTATGGGGGGGGGGATTTCTGTGTTTTAAGAAAGTCACCCGCAACTTTTCCCCTCGTTTCAGGAGCCTGGATATTTACTATGCAGAAGGGGTGGGGGTGGAGAACACCTGTATACACAAGGAAAGGAAAATTCGTCTTATAATATGAACGATTATCCTAATGTTATATTCCAGCCATAAATTACTGGCTAAACTTTCTTTGCATACCTTATCTCTACACCCTTGCAAAAGTGGGTAAACAAACAAAAAGAGAGAGCTACCTTGGCGAAGGGGAGGGGTGAGTAGGGCGCAAAAGGGAGATGATAACCGTTATAATTTTCATAAACAAACAACACGTTCAAAACCGGTTAAAACAATGAAGTTTTGTACTGTAGTAATGGCAGCTCCAGTGATTTCTTTCTTTCTTCCAGTTCTTACAGCATATTATTTGGCGGGGGGAAGCTAATAGTCTGAATGAAAGATAACGGCATTCTGACAAATTAAATAAAATTCCGCTATAGTAAATGCATGGAGACGCTCTGTATTAATTAATCGCGTGCAAATATAAATAGGATTGCCTTTTTTAAAAAGCAAATGACGTTTTAAGAAACGTAAGATGTGTTGGCTTGCCTCCCCTCTTTTTGTTAAGCTTCATTTTGCGCTTTGCTTTCCGCTTGGTTTGGTGCACGCAAATTGAATTTGCAAGCGACGCGGGAGGAGCTAAGCAAGGAAGGGGGGGGGAGGGGGGGGGATGAACCCGCGGCGGATTCTGGTCACGTCTTTGCTAACTGACAACAAGGTTAGCCAAAAAAAAAAAAAGCCCAATTTCTTTTTGAATCTTGGTAATTGGGTACTTTTACACGCAGATCACGCTGTTAGGGAAGAGTAAAAAAACCCCAAGCTTAAAGGATCTGTGTCTTGAATCTCATACCTACATTTCTGCTTCATTAGTTCACTGATTTCATTTTTTCCCTTCCTGTACCACTTATCTAACAAGATTTTGTGTATTGGTTGATAAACATTAAGAGTATTTTTAGACAATTAAGCAGTTCAGTGACATGAACTATGTGCCTCCTCTGCCCAGGAAACCCCTCCCTGCTCTCTTGTGCACACCCTGACTTATCAGAAAGTGGACAGGGTTCTTAGGCTGAAGATGGGGGAAGAGCGCCCTCACAGTTAAGATTCCTTCTCTGTGGAAAATTCTTTAAATGTGTAGCAGTTAACAGGAAAGACAATGGAAGCATGTGGGCCTCTCTTAACACAGGTTTGCAAAACAGAAAGGCAGAAATGTAGCATTGTAGGCTTGCATCTATTAAATCCTACCCATCCAAATTATACACAGAACAAGGCCCAGGAATGCGTCTCCCCTCCCATATATTTGGCTGTTATACATGAAGCATCAGTGGCCAGAAATGAATGGCTCAAAAGATGTGCAGAAGAACCAGGAAGACCTTGTTTTAAATTAAACAAAAGTTTTATTACCAAACTAGTTTGTATAAAACACGATTATACAGGATTTCTCTCTTTTTTGTAAGTTTGTAATAAAACAGCATGAAAGGGCAGTGGCAAAAGTTTTTTTTTTCCTTCTTCAAAAGGCAGCAGCTTGTAAAATAAATAGCTACCATTTTGCGTTTGGACAATAGCTGCATAAACTTTGTTCACTTTGAACATTATTAATACATTAGCAAAGTTTCTATTAAAAAGTAAGACACGTTGGTGCTAAAGTACATCTGGAGGCATTTCCGAGTCCTTTACAAAACCACATGACAAAAACATGGCAATTGTAAGGTCGTGTTGACTACGCATCTAGATATGCAGAGGTAATAAGCATTACGTATTTTAAAAAGGTATCAAGATATACACATTTTAAAACATTTGTACAAAAAAGTCTATAAATCTCTCTCTCTTATATACAAAAATAGCTTAATATATCCCCAAAATTGGTTAAGAATGATACAAATAGATTTTTTTATATAATAAAAAGTTCACAGGAAAAAAATTGGAAGCATTTCATGATAAGGGGTGGTAGGAAGGGAGGGAGGGAGGGAGCCAAATTAGACAAAGGGGAGACACATTAAAGGATTCTTTGAATATAGCATAGTTTTGATTTTCAAAATCTTCACAAGCATTAGGCAACCAAAGCCACAATCCTATGACACTTACTTGAGAGTAAGTTCCACTGAATTTGGTAAGCATCATTAGAAATGGGCTGCATGGCTGCAATCCTAAAGTCACTTACCTCAGAGTAAAACCCATTGAACTCAATGGGGCTTAGTTCTGAGTAAACAAGGTCATGCTGCAATTTCTGTTCATAGAGAAATGAATGAACCAGGCTTTCAAAAAAAAGGGGGGGAGGGGGAATACTGTTCTTATTTCAACAAGAAGGGAAGCTCACTGCTATGTAGAAGATGTGTATGGAACAGGCAGTACTGTTTTGCTTATGGGGGTTGAGAACAAGCATATAGGTGTGCCCTCACACCATGCCCCCCCGTCTTATAAACCCATTGTACAGCCTCCTCCTAAGTATATTTGCTTGGAAGTAAATCCCACAGTATTCAATGAGGCTTACTCCCAGTACGAGTGCATAGGATTGCAGTCTTGGGTCTCTTGGAATGGCCTAGAGTGCAAAGGCAGAATCAGGGAGTGCTTCAGTTTTCTTGGAGAGACAGTCCAACCTCCTTCTGTGCTTTCATTGTATGACTTTTCCTTTTCCTTTCCATATCTGGAAGGGGGGAAAGTAGTAGGACACAACAGTGTTGCTCGCAGTCCTGTAACAACATAAGGAGGGGGGGGGGAGAGAGAGGTCATCATCAATGCTTAATCCAAGGACAACTTCCAGGCACAGCAGTAAATCTCTGTCCAGCATTGGTGTTTGTATTATATTGTTTTATTCTGTTTTATGCTGTTTTTATCTGTCTTAACTTTGGCACTCGTGCCTCGTTGTTAGCCGCCCTGAGCCTTTGGGGAGGGCGGGATATAAATCAAATAAATAAATAAATAAAAATTAAAATTCAGACAGGGACAAATGGTTTTGGCTTCTTAAGCATTCAGTGAGTCAAACCACTGCCAACTTCACAATCCAGTTTAACTGAATTATTTTGAGTTGTGTGAAATATAGGCCATAGGCATCCTTCCAATAACTTAAGTGGAACATACTACCAATTAAAAGCTTCAATTCTGTGCACACCTCATAGACTACAAATGAAGTCTCACTTTTGAATAAGCTTCCATAAGATCAGTCAGGCAGTGTGCTTATATGGTATGCCAACAGAACAGGGCTGGAAATAACTCTTAGAAGATATATTGTATGGCCCCAAAGTTCTGTTAAAATCAATTGAACTTGCTCAGTAGTGGATGGGTTTTGGATCAGAGTGCCAAAAATCCAGGGCTGGCAGCTCATGCTGTTTAGTGTTTTGCCTCATATGCTGTTTTAAAAACATTGTCGCAAGCCAAGTGCAGGAGAAGTGGGACAGAAATATTTGTAATACCTAACATCTGTAGGGCCTCAGTCCACAAAAACACCAGCTCTGGATTAGTTTTCCTGAGATCCTTGTTAAAGCCTATAGAATTCTCCAGACCTACTGTAGATTAAGGGCTTTCTCCACTGCAGAAACCAAACCATGAATAAGGTTGTAATATTTTACAAACCAGTTATGCTAATGTGGCCTCACTGATGGTAACAATAGTTGACCAAACTCTGGTCTACTTCTGGAGTGTTTGGTGTTTTGCAGTCCCACATCAAATTATCACATAAGCAGAGTTACTCCTTTCTGAGTCCACTGAAGTCAATGGGTGTTGAAGGGTGTGACTCCACTTAGGCTGGCACTGCAAAATTACTCCAGAACACCCCTCCCCTCCTCCAGATATCAGGGCAAGCCCCACAGTCCATCTGCCTTGGAAAACTGAGGCTGATTTCCATGAGGCTATTCCAGGGTAGGTGTTCTGTGAATTGCTACCCAAGCACTCAGTCCACAGCTATTCCAATCAACGGTGAGACAGGTCACTGAGTTCAGTGGGGTCAGGCTCTCACCTCTCATTGATGCCAGTGGAATATAGCCCCTTGCTGAAACGGCAACCTAATTACACCCCCTGACTCTTCCTTCTGCCCCCCCCCCCCCTTGAATTTTAGACAGTAAACTCCTTGGGGATCAGGAGTGACCTTTGTTGGTTTGGGGCATCAGGAGTGACCTTTGTTGGTTTGGGGTCTGTCACTCTCCTGGAGCAGCATTAAGACGCGACAAACTGTCTCCCAAAGGCCCGGGGTCCCTCCCGCCCCCCGCCCGGCTCAGGCTAGCCTCCGTCCAAGAAGCGCCGCCGGCCTCCCACCTGCAACAGCGCCAAGGGCCGGCCCCCGCTCAGAACCAGTTGGTGAAGTCCAGCAGCTCCTGCTCTTCGGGGCTGAGGGGGTCGTAGGAGCCCTCGTCCGAGGAGTAGGAGGAGACGGGCGAGCCGGCCATGGAGTTCATGTCGTTGGGGTAGTGGGGCGAGATGGTGGGCGAGAGGACACCGGCCTGGAAGGCGGCGCTGACGGCGTCGTGCTCGTCGAGCAGCTGCTGGAGGGCCCGGATGTACTCGACGGCCGAGCGCAGCGTCTCCACCTTGCTCATCTTCTTGTTGGCGGCGCCGTTGGGGACGTGCTCGCGCAGCGTGGCGAAGCCCAGGTTGACCAGCTTGACGCGGTTCCGCTCCCGCTCGTTCCGCCGCGCCACCGCCGCCGGCTGCTGCTGGGGGAGGCTGTAGCCGAAGCCGCTGAAGTTGAGGCGCCGCTTGCAGCGCATCAACTCCGGTGACGACGAGCGCGGCCGCTTCACCTGCTGCTGCTGCGGCTGCTGCTTCGGCGCAGCCGCAACAGGCGCTTTGGCGGCGCCCGGAGAGGCTTGGCCGCTGGCCGCCGCCGGGCTCAGCTGCTGGTGCTGCCGTTGCGCGCTCTGTGAGGCGGCCACGGCGGCCGCGGCGGCGGCAGCAGCGAAGAAGCAGGCGGGCTGCAGGAACGGCGGCGGCAGCGGCGGCTGGCTGGCGCTGCTGTCCATCTTGGCGGGGCTGCCGCTGGCCATTGGGCGGCCGCGCGAGGGAGGCGAAGGCGCGCGGCGGGGCTCGAGGCTTTTGCTGGCTGGGGGCTCGCGGAGGCAGCGGGCGAGCGAGCTCCGACGGCTTTCCCTCCTCCTCCAATCTTTTCTTTGGAACCGAAGGCGGCTCGTGGCGCTCGCGTGTGCGCAGCCCGCTCCGCAAAGCCTCTTGTGCCAAAAGGGTCCAGAGATTGTCTCTCTTATAAGGGACGGCTGGAGCGCCGCTGGCTGCCCCCCACCCCTCCCCTTGTCACACTCTCCCCCTCCCGCGCCGCCTTGTCCTGCTGCGGTTACTGCGCCCCCCTCACACACACATACACACACCCACGGCACCTTGCGCCTTCCACACTCCCCAGCTTTGCAGCGAGTGGCCGCCAGCTGGGGAGCGCTGCTGCCTTTTCAACGCGCGGGGTGGCGGTGGCGGCGGTGGCGGGGGGGGGGAGTGGAGTGGATGGACGGCTGGAGGGGAGAGCACAACACACGCGCGCGGGGAGACGGAGAGAGAACCCCACGCACACGCGCTGGACCCAACTCCGCCTCCACGGCGCCCTCCCCCCACCGCTCCCCTTCCAAGGTTTGTTGTTGCAAGTGCGTGCGCCGGGCGCGTGCCGTTGGCCCAGCCACTGAATAAACAATTGGGCTGGGCCACCGCGTGGGGGTGAGCGAGCGGGGTGGGGGGGAGAAACCAGACAGCACAACAGCGCAGCCCTCGCTGATTGGCTGAGCTTGGGAGTAGGCGGAATGAAGGGGTGGGGGGAGTTCGATGGGGGGGCGCAGGGGAGAGGCTGAGGCGGGAGCCCGCGGAGAGGATGGGGGAGGAGACGTTGCTCGCCCCAACACTTGAGGGGGTTGCGTGGCGAGAGCCTTTGGCCTCTTCGCCCCAAAAGTGGCTGCGGAGGAAGATGTCGGTACCTGTCCAGGCTGGGATCTTCTGAGGAGCAGAATTGCGGCGGGGGACCCAACGGGGGTCTGGGCTGGGCTGCGGAGAGAGAGAAGAGCCGGCCGCGTTGGCTCTGAGGCAGCAGTGAGCGCAGGAGGGCGTGAATGGCTGAGGGAGGGAGGGAGGTGGCGCGATTGTTGGGAGAAGTGGCCGCGGTGGCTCCTAAGTTCAAAATTAAGCGATGCTTTTCCAAGCCAAGCGGAGGCTCTGAAGTCTTTTCCCGGGAGCGGTATTTGTAATGTTTAAAATCCTTTTTCCCGCTGAGTAATTAGAATCTGAAACTCATATTGACTAGAAACGACGCCCCCCCCCGCCCCCAAGCGCTCCTGAATAACTTCCCCTTGAGCATCCCAGTAAGAAAAGCGGCCTCCGGAGCATCACAGGATGAGAGAGTGCAGTAAGGAGGATTATCCTGTGCAGGGAGTGGATTCGCCTCGAAGACTAAATTAGCAGCTGGATACCTGATAAAGAGTTGGGGGGAGGGGGTCTATGGGTGACAATAAGTGAAACTACAAGACAAGAGATACTGCCAACCAGTGTTCCCTCTAAGCTGAGTTAGTGTGAGCTAGCTCGCAGTTTTTCAGCGTCCGGCTCACACATTTTTGCCTTAGCTCAGTAAGGATGGCTCCAGAGCAAACTAACTTATGCAGTAGCCAAATTGTTTGCTCACAACTTTAATGCCAGTTGCTCACAAAGTAGAATGTTTGCTCACAAGACTCCACAGCTTAGAGGGAACATTGCTGCCAACCAATGACATTTGTCATAGAGCATTCTTTTCCTGCCCACTCACCCCCCCAACCTTCTTTGCTACTGTCCATCTCTTTTGTCTTTTTATACTCCATGCCATCTCATCTTACCAACTGGGTACCATTCCAACCTGTACATGCTTGGCATTACCACTTATTGAGCTAAATAGAACTGATTTCTGAGTAGACAAGTTGGAGCCTTGAGCCAGTACAGAGTTATTGATGGGTGATAGTGAGATATTGAAAAAATGGTATTTAGCAGAGATAAAATAGTCCAGCAGAGCCAGAGTAAAATAATTCAGACTCAGAGTCCATGTGTGATTAAAATATAAAGCTTTTACTAAATTCTAGCATGGGAAGGGTAACTGGGATGAAAATAACAACAGCGCATAATCGGCTACATCCTTACTCTACAAAGACAAAACTAGAAGAGAGAGATTATGCCTACTCATCTTCTTCTTCCAAACACCAAACAAAGACGGGAAGAGAAGCTATAAAATGGTAATACACCTTGACACTTTAGTCCCAATCAAATTCCTAGATCAGGGAGAAAATTCCTGGGCTTTCTACATCTAAAGAATATTGGTTACATGAGAAACATGTGACTTCCTGTGAGTAACACAGATAGTTACTTTAGAAAGTTATTGGAAATACAGTTGCAATTCCTTAGCTACCTGCATTGTTTAAGTAATCCACACACTGCAGTGTTGTGCCAGGGTGTAATGACACAGGATGCCATCCAGCAAAAAGTTAAACCTTTTTTTTAAGCTCATTGTCAGCAAGCTGCCAATGTTTTGTTTTATTCTTTCTGTGTGCGCTTGTTTGCTTTCACTTTCATATGTAGAACTGTTGATGCACATAATTGCTTTGTCTGCCAAAACGTCTATATCTCTCAAGGCCACAGGTGGTTGCTGCTCCTTGTTAGTTGCTGGAGGCTCTCACGAAGCACCGTGAGAAAGAGATAACATATGCTGCCTAGAAGCGTTTGCTCCCAGGCCCGATGGCGTGGGCGGGAACCCCCGCAATTGGGCCTCAGTAGTTTGAATGTACTATAACATGCCATGCCCTTTTCTCACCCTTCATTCTGAACAGTGATTTTGTCCATGCACCTATAGCTTCAAATAAAGTAAAACCTTTCTACAAGCGTGTACTTTGTTGATGCTGTGGGAAGTCTGACATTCTGTTCAGAATCCCTCCATTCCCCATCTCAGCACATCTATCGATCTCGATATGAGTGACGGAGAGGGGAACACACTCATACCTGACAATGAGGAACCCGATGACCCGGACACAGGGAAGGACCCCCCGGTGACTATGGAGGCGGTGCCGGTAACTACCCAGCAGCCGGTAACAGTGCGGGGTCGGGGGGGCGATCCCGAAGAAGTCCACGGTGTCCCTGTTCCTGACTCCGCATGGCTCCAAGTACCGATCGGGGCACAGCGGCTGAGCCGGTCAGAGCTGGAGCCAATTTGATGCTGATACTACCAGAGAGTCGTATTCGCACTTGGGGTTTGCCTTACGGGGCAGTCTGTATGACAAAGGCATGGGCCCAGGGCTGCCTTCCCCTGGAGCGCAATTCGATCCCATCGCGCATCCGTGGGTGACGGATCAATCAAAGGCCAGGAGTGGTCGGACTTCCCCGGATGAGGGGCTGATGGAACGTGTGGAGACGACTGACCGAACGGTTCGGCAACTGCAACAGACGTTGGAAGAGGTGATACATGCCATCCTGGACTTGGTCACGTGAACAATTGAAGAGGCGTTAGAGCGGATGCGACCGGCAGATGGGGCGCCAGGGGCCCAACCGCTGCCGGGACCTGGGGTACCTGGCCAACCGGGGGTACTTGTGCAACCAGTCCCAGTCCCCGCTCCAAGACCCCCAGATGTGCCAGCCCCGGTGCCGAGACCAGGCAGTCCCAGAGGCCAGGCAACCCCTCGATCTCAAGATCTGATTGAGGCGACGTTTGATGGAAACCCGGAGGAACTCTCATATTTCGTAGTGCAAGTGCCGAAATTCGTGGATCGCTTGGGCCACCTGTTCCCATACAACAGCAGTTGCATTGACGTGGTGGCCGCGAGGCTCAGAGGGGTAGCAGCAGCCTGGTATGTGGGGCTCCACAATGCCAGGGGCCCTGAACTGACTGATGTGTTTGCTTTCATGTGGGCACTGCGAGCCCAGTTTGAAGACCAAAACGCGGGACCAAGAGCGCAAGCGTACTTGCGCACATTAAAACAAGGCCGGAGAATGGACCACGAGTACTCAGCAGAATTCAAGCTGCACGCAGCCAAGTTACCCAACTGGCCAGATAACGTCCTTGCAGAAATGTACCGGGTCGGGCTGAACGCAGAAATCAGAGAGACGGTACTGCGATTTCCCTGATGGCCTGGATGCAAGAAGCTGAGAGCTCAGAGAACTGCTTGCAAACCTTGAAGGTAGACATAGCGGCGGCGGGAGGGGGAAAAGCAACCCCTCCTATTCTGAAGCCCAAACCGACGAGGCAACCTGATGCCCTGCGAGAGCAACGGATGCGCCAAGGTTTGTGTTTAAAATGTGGGGGAAACGGCCATTTCGCGGCCGACTGCGGGCAACCCGCCTGTAGGGAGAAAGCCGATTCCAGCAAAGGCCGTCCAGCCACCCCAGTGAAGAAACCCACAGGGAAACCCAAATTTGCATGCGTCGCCAGAAGAAGATGAGGGAGACTCGAGCAGCGAGGAACAAGAGCCGGCGGGAAACAACCCAGTCCTGCTGTAGAAGGCGCAGAGCAGCAGGACCCTCCCAATGAGGAGCCAAGAGTGGTGAGCGAACCCCCCTCCCTATTCTTTGAGACTGTATCCATACTTAACCCGACCCTTGGAACTCACGTTAGAGCGAAGGCTCTCATAGACTCGGGGTGCGGGAGAGACTTAATAAGCCCCTCGGTGGTGGCTGGGCTGGAGATGGGGGTGGTGAAGTTGAAAGACCCGTTAATCTTCACCCAAATGGATGGGTCGGCCATGAAAGACCTGTGTCTATATGAGACTGTCCCATTACTGATGGGGGCTGGAGAACACTGGGAATCTAGGTCCTTTGTGATTACCTCCGTGTTGTGCTTCCCGGTGGTGCTCGGAGCCCCTTGGCTGTATGGGCACGATCCCTACATACTTTGGGAGGAAGGGAGGGTCCAGTTCATCTTGCCAAGATGTCAAGACCATTGTTGGGATGTGAAGTGGGGCCAGAATCCGCACCCCGATAAACCCATGGCCCTCCTTGCCCAAGAAGAGCTTCAATCCCTCCCTCCTGAGTACCGAGACTTAGCCAAAGT